AAAATTTGATTAATATTTATAATTTTTTTAAACATATAGTTATAATATCTGAAAATATTAATTTATAAATTAATTTTAATTTATTAAATAATAAATATTAATTTATAAATTAATTTTGATTTATTAAATAATAAATATTAATTATGAATTATTTTTAACAATCTAATTAAACAAAATCATTATTTCCTAAACAAAATTTTAATAATTTTAACAAAACAATAACCACACACATTGTTTGGATAGGTGTCCTACCCTATTTTTTTGGAGTGATGACCGAGCAAACTTCCATGGGCATTGGGCGATGGGGATGGATGCCTACTTAGACGGAGGATTGGGTTCATTCACCCAACTGTGAATGCGATTGGGTTGGTTTAGGAGACCAGTTGGTCGGTCAATTTACTTTAGTCTTTAGATATCCGAGTGTAGGTGCGCGCTGGGAGAGCTTACTTAGTAGGGAAGTAGGTACATGTATATGTATATGTTAGGTATTTACTTGTATTTATATTTAATTTAAAAATTGATTGGTACAAAAGGCTAAAACATATACTCTGGGCTATTCTAATAATAGACCTTAGCAGGGGAGCAGGTACATATATATATATATATATATATGTATATGTTAGGTATTTGCTTGTATTTATATTTAATTTAAAAATTGACCGGTACAAGAGGCTAAGACATATACTCTAGGCTACTCTAATAATAGATCTTAGCAGGGGAGCAGGTACGTGTATATGTATATGTTAGGTATTTACTCGTATTTATATTTAATTTAAAAATTGACTAGTACAAGAGGTTAAGATGTATACTTTAGGCTAATCTAATAATAGACCTTAACAGGGAGCAAGTACATGTATATGTTAGGTATTTGCTCGTATTTATATTTAATTTAAAAATTGACCAATAAAAGCGGCTAAGACATATACTTTGGGGTACTCTAATAATAGACCTTAGTGGGGAATAGGTACGTGTATATGTATATGTTAGGTATTTACTTGTATTTATATTTAATTTAAAAACTAACCGATACAAGAGACTAAGATGTGTACTCTGGGCTACTTTAATAATAGACCTTAGCAGGGAACAGGTACGTGTATATGTATATGTTAGGTATTTACTTGTATTTATATTTAATTTAAAAATTGATCGACACAAGAGGCTAAGACGTGTACTCTGAGCTACTCTAATAATAGACCTTAGCAGGGAACAAGTACGTGTATATGTATATGTTAGGTATTTACTTGTATTTATATTTAATTTAAAAATTGACTGATACAAGACTCTTAGGCTACTTTAATAATAGACCTTAGTAGGGGAGCAAGTACGTGTATATGTATATGTTAGGTATTTACTCGTATTTATATTTAATTTAAAAATTGATCAATACAAGAGGCTAAGACGTATACTCTCGACTACTCTAATAATAGACCTTAGTAGGGAATAGGTATGTGTATATGTTAGGTATTTACTCGTATTTATATTTAATTTAAAAATTGATCGATACAAGAGGCTAAGACGTATACTCTGGGCTACTCTAATAATAGACCTTAGTAGGGAACATGTATGTGTATATGTATATGTTACGTATTTATTTGTATTTATATTTAATTTAAAAATTGACTAATACAAGAGGCTAAGACGTATACTCCAGGCTACTTTAATAATAGACCTTAGTAGGGGAGCAAGTACGTGTATATGTATTTGTTAGATATTTACTTGTATTTATATTTAATTTAAAAATTGACTGGTACAATACCCTATGCATTAAATAGGATAAGCATTTTATATTCACCTTTTGACCTGTTGAAAGGACGTTCTTACATCTTCTTGAACAATTATTTCTTTATGAACAGTTATTTCTTCAAAATTTATGGCTGCAGGATAAGGAATAAAATGATTGTTATGAGATAGACATTGTTACATCTTCTTGACAGTTATTTTTTCAGAATTCATGGCTGTAGGATAAGCAATAAATTATGATTGTTATGATAAGCAATAAATTTATTAATAAAAAATAACTGAAAATAATTTACCAATACCACAACTAAACCGTCTTTACCAAAGACGAAAAATCTGATCCTTTCAAATGTTTTCATGATTGGGATTTGGCCATCCTCCAGTTTTCCTTCTATTCTTCGTGTTTAGGGTTATAATTGCTTGGATTGCATTTTCTCAATATGAATAGGTATTTGATTTTAAGCACCAATTTCTTTTTTCTCTAATTATGTTACATTTTCTCTCTAATTTCAAAATATTTTGTTATATAGAGGTAAATCGATTGCAAGAAATCTGGAATATGTATTTCTTGATCAACTTTCACCCAATAAAGAAGATTGGAAGATTAAAGTACGAATGTGCAGATTGTGAGATGTTTTTAGTTTAAAACGTGATAGGGACTATCTAACTACTGAAATGGTTTTCGCCGATGAGAAGGTAATTTTATAAGTTATTACATTTATTCTTTTATGTATTTAATGAATTTTATTAACAATAATTATTTGTTTGCAGAAAAATTTTATTCATGCTATCATTTGGAGTTCCAATATTCTACGATTTAAGAATAAGTTGGTGGAAGGAAATGTTTATTATGTGAAAAATTTTTCCGTCGAAAAGAATAAGGACACTTATCGTGTTGTCTCTCATAACAACTATAAGATTCAATTTCACCTTGATACTATTGTCAAAGAAATAATCGAAGAAGTTGCAAAGATTCCGAGATTTGTATTTGAACTCATGGATTATGAGAAGCTTCTCGAGAAAAGGAACAAATGCCTTTGTGGTTTTTTTTTTTATTTTAATATAATTTTATTAAATGAATATGTGATTTATTTTTATTTAAAATGCTTTTATTACAAATTTAGATGTTATTGGAGTTT